GTTAGAGTATAGCTCAAATAGCCCTAAATCCTAAACTCTAAACCCAATGTAGGTAATACTGTTGATGGAGGAAATCTTGCACCACCTTAAGTCCCTAAAGTCCTAGGAATTACAGTAATTTAGGGCCCCTAGGTGGTGCAAGATTTCATCCATCAACTGTAGCAGCTCCCACAACCCAAAATCCGGTTTAGGGTTAGGGGATCTAGAAAGTATAGTCCCTCTTAACTAGATAGAATATGTCTTTGGGTATAGTATAATAAGATCCCCATATACCCCATATTCTATCTACTTAAAGGGGGACTATAGATCCCCGCTCAGGGCTCCAGAAAATTACCCCATAGTAGTATAGGGTAGCATGTTAGGGGTTCTAGTTTCTAGGTCCTCCCAGGGGAGAGGTGATAAGGACGATAAAATGTATCCCTTACTAAGACCAGTTTCTGTAAAAACCTTAAGCCCTAAACCCGAAACCCTAGACCCAAGCAACGGATCGGTTTGAGCAGGGGAAATAGTAAGGTTCTAAACTTCTTGGGGCTTGGTAGGGAAATAAAAAGAAATAGTTCATCCCCTATCGAATCTCTGTATAGTCTAGTCCCTTATTCCCTACTAACCCCCCAGTAATTAAAACTTCTACAGGCGCGGCATTCTCTGGCCTATCAAGGACTTGGGTAAAGGGCCATCCTCCGATTCTTTGTTGAAGTTTTCAAAGGCAAGGACCTGCTGCAGTGATTGGTTGAATCCTTTGGGGTTTAGGGTTTAGGGTTTGGGGTTTAGGGTTTTTGGGTTTTGGGTTTAGAGTTTAGGGCTTGCAAATTAAGAGCCAGACTCCTCTCTCTACCTTGTACGCATCTGATTCTTCAAGGGTTCCACGGCAACTCAGGCTGGCACCAACGTCTATGACAAGATCCCCGGCTTTGCAGAGCGTCTGTAAAGCCTAGGATAAGTAGCTTCCATTTCCTTCTCCATTATCCCAATATAACCCTGATGTTACCTCAATAGAACCCCAATATTATCCCAATATATACCCTGTAATACATTTTATGTTCCATTATCCCAACATAAATGGTAAAACCCTAAACTTAGTAGCTTCCATTTTCTTTTCCATTATCCCAAAATAACCGTAATGTTACCCCAATATAACCCTACTATTATTCCTATCTAAACTCAACACCCCAGAAGCATAGGATTGGCCCAAGTCGAAAGTGCCCAGCTGTCGCACCGCATTCCCCACCTTGCTGGGGGTTTGGGGTTTAGGGTTTCAGGGGCTAGTCGGGGACGGTGGGAAAATAGAATATACGGATGGGATTATATAAAGGTCTTTTTGCCTTATTCCCTGAACCCTAACCTTATTCCCTTCTAACCACCAGTGAGCCACATTGATGTCGAAGGCTGGCGCTACGAAGAAATGAGGCATCTCTGCCAAGTTCACGTCCTCCAGAAACACGGGGCGAACAAACCCAACTCGACGATGGGTTTAAGTGTAGGGTAAAAGGAACCTGCATGCATGTACACATTTGTAGAGGGGTCATTGAACAAGGACATCTCGCCCAAAATGGAAATAGAATGCGAGCGAGGGTCGCCCAGGCAGCACAACTCATAAGTGAAATAATCGTCCCAGCAATCCTCACGTCCCCGAGGTCCATATGTTTTGTCACAACACTGACCGGCGTCAATGCTGTTGCGGCTAATGCCTTGCCAGAAGGCCATGACATGACATGAAACGGAAAAGCAAAGGTCTCGCATCTAATGCATTGTGGCTTGCATTCTGAGGCAGGATCCCAACTCGTCCAACCAGCACAGCCGCGCACCGCTTGTTGAAACTGGGGGCCATGTATGGTGAGCAGTTATCAACGTTGGGTAATGAATACCTCCAGCATGTATTGTTTTTTCTCTCGGTCGCCATCTTGTCCGCATCTTGTACAAACAATCAATAAATGCCTGCCAGGCATTAGCGCAAAGCCAAGTTCGACAACAGTCGCCTCATGTTTCACCTAGCAGCACAACAAGAATAACGAGAACCAACGGCGCTTGCAGCCACGATGCTGACCGATTCCGAGGGTTCAGCCACTCGGACTTGAACCCTTGCTGTGCGAAGTCAGTGCTTTTGAAGCGCTTCATGCAAGAGGCACGGCCCTGCCGTTCCTAGGTTGCTGTGAAAGGAACTTAAACTAAGTTAGTCTAATAACGAAGCGGTACTACTTACTATAAGCCCATATGATGGTAACTTAAATCAAATTCCTTGACAGCAGCTGAAGCTCAGATTGTGTTTGGGGTAGCCATGCCTCTCGCTCACCCTCCATTGGCCTTGGCCGATCAATGCCGTGTGCTGCGTTGGCTGCGCAAGCCAACAACGACAAAATTAGGGGTATCATTCGTGGGGCTCCCAGAATGCGGATTATAATATTCGGGGGTATGTATTGGGGTCTCCCGTTTTCGGGACCCCTGAGATTTCATGCCATGGCACACAGAATAGCCCAGGGAGATGCACAGCAGCCACAATCGCACCAGCAATTGCCAGTTTTGTGTTGCAGCCATTGTCGCGCATGTCGGGCGGGCAAGGCTAGGCACACAGTAACTCGTGAGAGTTGTACGACAACGATGAGCAACCCTATTGTTGAGCCCACATACCTTACAAAAGATGCCGATGTGGTAGCTTCCTAACATAGAGGCCCAATATAGACCCCCAAATATACCCTGATGTGTAAACGCAAATTTTGTTGCTGACGGCTCATGTGACTTGACGACTGCTGAACGATGCCAGGAGCTCTTGGGAAACTACTCTTGCTGAATGCCATCACGTGCCATCGAAGCACACGGCTTACCGACGCCCAATTCATCTTGTTTGTCATGCATGGGCGCCTCGCTGGCCAGACCTGCTGCAAAGGCCCATCGGCCCGTCGCAACCATGCGCATCACGGAAATACCATTAAACTGGGCACATGTCCGCAATCAAATGATGCCTTGTAAGCAGCAAGCAATGACCCTCAAGAACTGCCGTGGTTGAAATGGAAGCGTGGGATGCCTACCGTGGGAGCCACAACATGTCCAGATGAAGGCTGGAACCGCATCTCTTGATGAAGAAAACAGTTTCCGAAATGTGGCGTGCAAAGGCATAAGGGCAACAAATCCAGGCAACAAAAAGACCGTCCCAAGGTCTGATAAACACAAAACTAACTCAGACCTAGCCACCGAACGCCCTATAGAACAACATTACCAGCAACTCAAGTGCGCAAGAAGCACGAATGCAAGTCTTGGCCAAGAAGCACGGTCCCCATGTGGCCGTAACCAGAAGCCTCAACCTGTGGCCTCAACCTGCGGCCAAAGAAGATACCAAGCCTCGACAACGAGGCTGCATAAAAAGTGTCCTTTGTTGCTGTCGCGGCCCTTTTGATGTCACTGCAAGCTGCTGGGCGGAGCCAAGTTGCCAAGCGTTATGATGCACTTGACGTTTAGTATAACATGTGTACATCTATCTACACACACACACATATATATATATATATGTGTATATTCAGATATACATACCGCACTGGAACCCTTGCTTCGCAGTCACCCTACTTCAAGTTCCCTTGTATAGGGTTGATTGCAATTGCCATTTTAGATCGTGCAGCTCCTGCACTTTGTCCTGGCGCGAGTCTACTAAGTCAGACTGTGGTCATGTGCGGCTCCCGGAAGCGAACCTATGCTGAGCGCCCCTTCTTCAAATTGGGGTAGCTGGACCCCCGCATTCAAAGGTGCCATCGCTGATCCGATGTGATCAACCAGTATTGGGGGCTCGGCAACAGGGAAAGGTAGCGTACTGTTTAATTGGGTTTGCGATCCTTACTCGGTTTGTGATCCTTACTCTCTGACAATAACTGCTTGAGGTCATCATTTATGGAAATTAAGTGGTTGTTCCAGACGATTCTTTAATCACTTAATCACACGGAAAAAACCAGGAAAGAAAGGTAACAAAACACTTAGAATTCCTGAGAGCTTGGGGCTCAGGAGGTTGCGGCATGAGGTCATCTGCGAACATTATCATGGTTTGGCTTGAGTCGGATGGGGGATGCCATTGTGGGGCACTCAGCTGCAACCGGGTGAGAGGAGGCTGCCCTAGTCTGCGAAGCAATTTTCATAGAACGCCATACCTTCATATCTTCCTCACTCAAGCTTTTCACCTTGCGGCAGTTGTCGCGCTATGCCACACGTGCTACACAGTCATGTAAGGCGGATACAGGTATGGCGTAGACGCTCAATTCCTGACGGTCATTCCATCGAGACAGCTTCTCTTACTGGAGCCAGTAGCAGAGCATCATATGCCGGGTCGCCTGTTCAGCTGCTGTTTGCTGGCCGCCGTGGCAATCTCAGGGTGCTACTAGAGGCCTCGGGGCGACTGAAAATCCCAATCCTCGCCTGCTTCGCAGCTTTGCCACAATTGCTCGGTATTTCTGGGTACCTGAGCACGGTGGGCCCAAGCTGCACCAAAACCCAACTTCTGAAACAGGAGCCAAGCCAACATCCGCGGGCTCCTCGGGCTTCTTTGGGCTGTCCTGAATGCATCATCGGTGGTGCCCGTGGTGCTTCAGTGCTCAAACTGTTTGGACAAAACACTAGGCCCAGCCCAGCCATTTGCATCATGCATCCGAATGAGCCACAAAATCACGCGGCGGGATTAGACATACTTTGAAGAAGACTAGGCCCGGCCCAACCATTTGCATCATGCATCCGAATGAGCCTCAAAATCACGCGGCCGGATGAGGCATACTTTGAGGGAGACTAGGCCCAGACCAGCCATTTGCATCATGCATCCGAATGAGCCTCAACATCACGGGATGAGGCATACTTTGAAAAGGACTAGGCCCGGCCCAGCCATTTGCATCATGCATCCGAATGAGCCTCAAAATCACGCAGCGGGATTAGGCATACTTTGAAAAAGACTAAGCCCAGCCCAGCCATTTGCATCATGCATCCGAGTGATCTTCAACATCACGGGATGAGGCATACTTTGAAAAGGACTAGGCCCAGCCCAGCCATTTGCATCATGCATCCGAATGAGCCACAAAATCATGCGGCCGGATGAGGCATACTTTGAAAAAGACCAAGCCCAGCCCAGCCATTTGCATCATGCATCCGAGTGAGCCTCAAAATCACGCAGCCGGATTAGGCATACTTTGAAAGAGACTAGGCCCGGCCCAGCCCAGCCATTTGCATCATGCATCCGAATGAGCCTCAAAATCATGCAGCCGGATTAGGCATACTTTGAAAGAGACTAGGCCCGGCCCAGCCCAGCCATTTGCATCATGCATCCGAACCTCAAAATCACGCAGCCGGACTAGGCATACTTTGAAAAAGACTAGGCCCAGCCCAGCCATTTGCATCATGCATCCGAATGAGCCTCAAAATCACGCGGCGGGATTAGGCATACGTTGAAAGAGACTAGGCCCAGCCAAGCCGCGTGCATGGGAAAGAGCAGCTGGGTGAAACTTGGGTGTTAGGATGTAATCGTTAAATTAGTGGCGCCTGGTATTGAAAAATGTCTGAAGGGGTTTTGAGGAGCTTTGGGGGGAGCAGTCCTGAAGCCACCCCACAATGTTGAGACCCATGTGGCGGCCTTCCTCCACTGGACATCCTGGCAACAGCAGACTGAACAAGCGAATTCCCTGTGATGCGGGGGCGCTCCTGCAATGAGTGCTGCTGGAGGGCGACCTGCACCTCTTGCCCGGATCCGTCTCCGAGGTTTTTCTCGGCCAGCGCTTTCAGCATGTCGGAGGCCGAGGTTTTTCACACGGTGCCCCCCACAACGTTCGGCACGTGCACAGCGCAATAACCTCGCAAACAATCAGCTAAATTACCCTGTGCCGCGTAAATACCTAAGTGACAGGCTGTACGGAGGTGCCGCAGTCGACAACCTTGGGGACCCTGAGTTTGGGCATCCCCTTGGCGACGGCCCTGCGTCAGATGGAAAGCCAGCAAATCCTGCGCTCACACCGCGGCCTGTGGTGCAGCGCGCAGCGGATGCTCAACCACTTAAGGTCGCCTCAGATGACCCTGAGCTCTGAAAAATTCCAGACACCACCAGTGAAGCAGCACAAAGCCGTAAGGACCCGGCCCTTTGTGGGCTCATTAAGAACGGGTTTGGGCGCCGCAGCCTCGAAAACCAACACGTCATGCCCGTGGAGCCAGAGGAGCAAGATTGCATGTTTAGGCTTGTCCAGGCTCCATCACGTATGAGCTTCACTTTTTCAGGAGGCCTTCAAAGATCACTGGGCCTGAACTTCCACAAAACCAACTAGACAACACTGTTTTGCTGGGCGCGGTAGAGTAATGTGGAAAAATAACACACTTCTCTGATGTGTCTGAGGCCACGGCCAGCCATGATGAGGATTCCAAAGGCGGACGTGTCGATTGAACAGAAAGGCTTTGGCGGAGAATAGCATTCGCACACCGTGATGGTGTTCTGAAGGATTAGAGAACTGATGGGCAAGGCGAAGGCCGATTAAAGTTAGACTGCCAGATCCCAAAGCTATTTGGTAGATTTCCTTCATTAACCTGATTCGGCATAGTGCTGTGTTTCTCAGGCCTCGGCCTATCTAGGGATGCTTTCCAACAACGCCGTTGAAATGTACTCTCTTCTCATGGCCCATATTTTGCTCATCGATTTCCTGCGAGCTGTTCGCATGGGCGACTAGCAGCGCAAATCTTTGTCGGTTTAGTGCAGTCCGGCTTGAGAATGAGCCGACGCGTGTATGTTCAAACTTTGTTTCAGCTGTCATAGCGTTTGGTGCTCTTGAGCATGTTTGGTGCAGCCCGGCTTGAGCTTGAGAATGAGCTGACGCATGTACATTCAAGAAACGCCTCAGCTGTGATGACGTTCGGTGCTCTTCTAGCATGTTTGCTTGGTGTGCCTGTCTTTATCAAATGATGTGGCGGACGGCAAATGCTGTATGCTAGAGCGCTTGCTGATGTGAGTGAGTGCCCTGACCTGCTCAGCGCGGGATGCGGGAGGGTAGCAAAACACCGTCATTAGGTCAGCAGGTGCCAAATGCACTTGACACTTACAGCCATCTTTGTGCGCCGGCACCCCTCAACAGGGTCAGCCACACCTCTGTGGTTCTCTTGCTATTACTCACTCAGCATATGTACAGTACCACAATGTGAACAATAACAACGTGTCTGAATTAGTTTACTTACGTGCACACTGCACAAGGTGAGGAACCGAAAGGATCAATGATGGAATTGGCGCAGAAAGTGAAACGAAAGTGTGACATCTATTTCTTGTCGCGCTCTTCATCCTCAGACCACCTGGCCCCAGCTTTTGAGCGTTTTAAAACCGCGTTGTTTTCCGGCATCCCGAGCGTCAGCAACGACCACGCCTGACCACCGCGCGACTGAGGGCGGCCCTTCCTGGAGCGGCGGCGATCCCTGCGGCACGATGGCGTGCCAACAGCCGCAACAGGTCCGTAGCTCACCGACCTCAATGCTGACAACCACCGAGCGGCAGCATCCGGCACGCGCCAGCTCGGGGTAGGATAGCGCAAGCCTTGGCTCAGATTGACCAGGGTTCCCTTGGCTGCCTCCAACTTGTCGCTGCACCGTTCTGGAGGAAAGGGCTATAAGATAGCATAACTCCATCTGGAGCTTGCTCAGGCTGTTGATAGCAATACTAAGAAGCATTCCATCCCACTGGATTCCACTTCCTCCATACTTTTTACAGGGCCCTGCTAGTGACTAGTGAGATAATTGCAGGGCGGCTGCTCCCAACCGAAAACCTAGGTGGAGCCACAAATGGATACATCGCAGAACCCGCAATCATGCATGGCATGTTTGGGATCGTTTTTGCGGAGAGGAGGCTGTTGCAGAATTCGACAGAAGATGGCAAAGGTATGCTGAAGTACGGTTATGTGCAGATAGCGATCCTGATTGACGGGCATAGGGAAATGTCTTGGAATATCCTGAGCAAGCACATCCTCCAATTTCTCGGCAATCGTCGATGTTGATGCAGCTGCTGTGAGCTGGATAGAAGTCTATCGAACACTTGTATTTTGGCATGTGCTACTGAGAGTATACAGGTGTTGTGGAGGAACATGCTACATGCAGACAGCTTTGCAGCAGCCGCTCTGCCATTATGAGATTTTGCGCGTAGGGCAAAAGTGCTTGGCAGCGTAGGAGACTCTTAGGCTGGAATTCTCCAGCAAAATTTGTCCTGAAATTTCACGCCTCTGGCGATGACTCCCCGCACGGATTGGAACCGCTTACCCGGAGATCGAAAGAAATGCTGAACTGCAACCTCACAAGATCTATTTCACATGCTCAGCAAGACATTGTCCTGGCTCTGAGGAGCAAACTGTTGAGCTGAACGAGCTGTTCTGCTCTGAAAAGTGGCAGACTGGGGAAAGTGGCAGCTGGTCGGTTGTCCAAATCTACGCATCATATTTTAGGCAGTTTACCTACCCAACATTTGGAGTCGTATCAAAGCCGGCCAATCCTCCTAGCAGCCTGCCAAATGCGTATTCTGGAAAGTGACGAATGAGTATGTGCGAGTCTCCAAGACTGAGAGGGATACCCCAAAGTAAACCCGAAACCCCTAAATCCCGTATGACCCTTCCTTTGCAGGTCCATCGGTCTAAACCGTCCCTTTGCCAAAACTCACAAACGGATGTATTGCGTTCAAGGCTAGCCGGGAATGTCTTGCTTTAGAGACTCCGGCGCCGTGGCCCCCAACCTATCAACTGGACTTATAACATGGAACAGGGATAGACGGCCCAAAGTGGCGACACGGTGTATGAAACACGACTTCTTGGGCTCTCTCACAAAACTTCTCAGTCAGTGTAGGCAATTTGAAATGCTTGTGTCGTTCAAACGTTAGTATCGGGTCAAACTTACTGCGCCCAAGAACTTGGGGCGGGCTGGGGCCACTTTGTGACGCGACGTCAGGCGCCACATCTCAGAGGGCAATAGCTGGGCAACTCATCTGCAGCAAAACCATTACAGCCGCATGTCTTCGGACAAATGTGGGCCAAGGGCTTAAACAAGTCTGGCAATCCTCAGCAAGGCCCGGAACTTTGAGCAAGTAAAAAAGTGGCTAATTAGGCATGAGATGTTTATGGCATTGTGGAACTTAAAATAAAGGGAAACCTCATTATTTACAGTATTTGTATTGTCCTATCCCTAGTATGATAACCTGAAGTATCTTATTTAACAGCAAGCCAGTGATGTCAGGTCAAGGTTCCCTCACACCAATTTACTCCGGTCACGAAGTCCTGGGGCTCAACTTCAAGATAGCCACAACCATGACGCAGCATACCCTGGACGGTAGAAGTCACTGTGTTCCAAACGGATGTCTGCGTCATTTCTTCTCCATAGTATCCTGTCAGGGCGGCTTCGTACGTGTTCCAGAAGGTGTCCCAATTTCTGCCTGTCTCATTGTTCTCACACGTGAGGTTCGCAAGCTTGTCCTCTGCATCTTGCAAACATGCCTGACTGCACCCTTGCGCAGGAACCTTGTAGAAAGGTGAAGAAACAGCATCGGTGCATCCACATGTCGCACCGCAGACCAGCCGTAGCAAGCTGGCATTGGGGCTGTCACACATGTGGCTAAGCTGGGCACAGTCTGACACCATTTGATACCCCAGTGCCAAGCCAGCATTTCGTAGCATCACTTCTGCGGCAGGCTGCAGATTGGCATTCCCGGTCAAGGTGCCCTCCATCAGCAGATTAGTTTCAATGCAGAAGGGCCAGTTTGACGACTCCCCACTCATACCACGCGTTCGGTCCTCTTCGAAGCTCCGGCGACTGGGGGCGAAGAGGATGTAGTCTGAGACTTCTCCCGGCATCATCTCCCCTCGGATGTCAATGTGCCTCTTCACAGCAAGCTCGCTGGTCGAAAGCTGGCCGTCGTTTCTTGCCGCTGCTTTGTTCGTCACAAGCCCGTATGTCAACTGCGCATCTCGGTTGTAGGTCACTACGAAGGTCTGGTTGCCGCCACACAGCTCTCTCTTGACCTCTTGCATCGTGTCAGTCAAGGGGCCTACCAACAAGACATAGGCCAGCAAAACAACAGCTGAGATAAAGGTAAAATGCGTAACCGTTTCGCATTGACTGCGTCGACGGCTGTACTTGACCTGTATCGGGTCTAGAGTCTGTATGACATGCTGGATTTTGATGGGAGTCAAGCAGGAAAACAGGAACTCGTCAACAGCCAGAATGGCATTGAGCGCAACTGCGTTGAGCATGAGTTCCGTGATTGAAGTGGTGCGGGCGAGCCACAAGACACCAGCCACCAAGAGCCATCCTGCAATGGCTGCCCGAGCTGCATAGGTCCACAGGAGCAAGCAATACCGACGGTATGAGATTTGGCTGAACGCATAGTTCTGAAATGATGTGCAGCGCGCCCGCGGAATCTGCATTGTGGCTTCCAAAAACAACCAAACACCACGAATCTCCTGCAGGCAGACTTGCAGGACACATGTCACAACTTATGTAGTAACAAGGCCTTTGTGTTTTGTCAGGTAATCTGCCCAATGCAAGTCCTTGTACACGCACAGCGTCCACAAAAGAATGCAAAGGATACATAGCAGAACACCTGGTTGGAAGAGCTGCGGCGTCAGAGGGTTTGCTTTGTTGATGCCCAGGAAGGCATTGATCTGCTTCACGAGAGTTGCCTGCCACACAGCCAACACCAAAAAGCAATTCAATCCCCCAAGATTCCGCAGAATGATCTCCTTTTATTTTCTGCACGAGCTCCCCAGCAATGCTCAGGAACACCGTCAATCCAACAAAACACTGCAAGCGCATTGCAAGCCCAGGCTGCCTGCTTGTTTGACAGGATCAGTGCGCCGTCCACAGCGCACACTCGAGAAACCAGGCCTGTGCCTGCCCGAGATGGGGATCACGCTTTCAATTTACATAGGGGGCTTAGTGTCAGGTTACATGCATCAACTACCGCTGTCCCACCTGAGAGATCGATGTAGGCATCGTCATGCGCGACACTCCTGACACAGAGAGCTCACAATCTCACTAGACTGAGGGTGTCAGGGTCCAGCTTTGAGCTAGCTCTTGGCCAACCCCAGAGAACCAAACTTACAGGTGTTCTCTATAAGAACTGGACAAATGAACGCCAGTCTCCTTCGCCATATCCTTGCGCTCTCCAAGTTCGAGTCGAAGCTTTCTCCCATGAAAGGCTCAGAGATCAAAAGGCCTGAGAAAGCCGTCTGCATCCCAAGGTTCGCCAGGACGATGAAGGCGGCTGAGCAGGTATCCATCCATCCCACATCGGCCAGCCCAATCACAAGCGGAATGTTCCAAGCGCTGCCTTCAAAACGCACCGGAGTGGTTTTCTCTTTCTTCTTGTTGGACTTCCTGACAAAGCTGCCATCTGTGCCATTCATTTCTTTGTCCTTCGTGGGCGCGGAGTCCAAGGATGACCTTCCAGACATCCTTCTTGAGCCCACAGTTGGCTCCACCTCAACAGCTTTGGTATAGTCCACTCCTGAGTTGGTGTTGAGGACCTTAAGCTAGGTTACCCCATTGGTATTCACCTTTCACCTACATTATGGAAACATTACTTCGATTCTTTACGGCAGCAGAGACTCCTTGATAAGCTTCATCCTCAGAAGATTCACGCGACAACTGTGATTCGACAGCTTCCAGCCGCAGAAAAAGCCGGCGGATTTCCGCCAGGAGTTCTGCATGTGAGGTGCCAGGACCGTCAAAATTGGCACGGTTGTCCCCGTGGGGTACCTCGATAGCCACACTCTTCACAATTTGAGTTGACAGATCATTGTTCTCGTCAAAGTCCACGTTGTCATTCGTGTTGGATGGCGTCGACATGTGTCAGCGCAAATCGCAAAAGCCGCTGGCACACCCGCGAGTTTACTCTGACCCTAATCTTGGAAGTTGAGATAGCATACATCTTTCATTCTGCAATGTCAGATGCGCACTTCAATATCGGAACCTCGTCTATGTACAGCTTCAGCAGAGCCTCGTGCTAAGTCTATGGTAAACATTTGGCATGCAGTATCATGCTGCTCCAGCCATCGCCTGGAGCCAACCAAGCAATGCGGTGTGAAGCGGTCGTCAGTCGCAGCCGCGCGTGTGAAGGCTGAGTACTTCAAGGGTCGTTTCATGCCAGCACAAAACATGCCGAGAGCCTTTCATGCGCATGCTACCGCGAGTGGAAACAAATCTGACCATGGCCCAAAATAACAACAGCAACAACAACAACAACAATGACAACGACAGCAGCAGCGGCAACAGCAACAATAACCACCACCATCAACAACAACAGCAACAAAAGCAACATCAACAGCAAAACCAGCAACGGCAACAACAACAACAGAAGCAGGAGCTGCAACACAGCAGCAGCAGCAGCAGCAGCAGCAGCAGCAGCAGCAGCAGCAACAGCAAAAGCAAAAGCAACAACAAGAACGACGAGGACAACAACAGTGACAACAACGACAGCAACGACACCACCACCACCACCGCCGCCGCCGCCGCCAGCACCAGCACCAGCACCAGCACCAGCACCGGCACCAGCAGCAGCAGCAGCAGCAACAACAGCAACAGAAACAATAACAACAACAGCGACGACGACGAAGACGAAGGAAGACGCCACCGCCACCGCCGCCGCCGCCACCACCAGCACCAGCAGCAGCAGCAGCAGCAGCAGCAGCACAAGCACCAGCAGCACAAGCAGCACCAGCACCAGCACCAGCACCAGCACCAGCACCAGCACCAGCACGAAGAAGAAGAAGAAGAACAACAACAACCACAACAACAACACAAGGAGGAGGTCGATGTTCATCTCTGACGCACGAACATGGTGGCAGACCCGAGCCCCAGCCTGCTGACACCCTACAATCTCAAACGCGCTTGCTGTAGAAAACGTTGTTTTGGCAGAGCGGCATTGCAGCGTCTGACCGTACCGAGGCCATGGAGGCTGAGAGCCTGCGTAGCGGTGAGAAAACAAACATTGCGCAAGGGCTGAGCTTTTTGCAAGCGTTGCGCGTTTCTTGTGGTAGCGGAACTTTGACCAGGAACTTAAGACTTTTGGGTGAGCTTTGTTGGGGTTGTAGGGGCCCCATCGCCAGGCGTAGCCTAGCTTGAGCCATGGAGGAATCACCACTGCAGGCTCCCGACTACTTCGAAAAAGTGAACGACTTGGACGAGGACACGGCTTCGGTGCAGATGGTCATCGGCGTACTGCGAATGAACGCGAGACCTTGGAATTCATCAGTGTCAGATTCACTGAAGGGAAAAACTATGCAGGGTACACCCCTGCGGCGTGAGATGGAGATGGAGACCGAAGCGGTGAATGAAAACTGGGACTCTAGGGAGAGGCGAGCCGGAATTGCTTGACGAGGATGAATACCTCGTCCAAAAGCGAGGCCGCGACCAAGAGAGTCTGAGCACGCCACCCTTCAAGCGAGATCAGGATGAGAGAGCTCCAAGGGCGAACAGGTACGGGAAGCTTCGTCAGGTTTTCCACGCCACTGTCGAGGACGACGACGAAACAGACCAAATGCCTAGCGGCCTAGCGAGGCTTTGGCGAGGACGATAGCCAAGCCGGGGACGATGCCACGTTGGTTTCGGAGGTGGGCAGCCGAAATGGTGAGGACGAAGACGAGGACATTATGCCTGCGGAGGCGTATGCCCAGGAGTACCGCGTCAAGAAGAAGATCAATGAGTTGAAGCAGATGCGGCTGTTCTGCAAGTGTGGCAACATGGAGAAAACCACACAGTGGACCTGTGAGAAGCAGAACAAGGAGGCGGGCTTCTTGTGTCAGAACTTGGGAATGCCCGGAACGGGCAGCCTGAAAAGGAGCAAAGCAGACCCACTCTGTGCATGTGACAGTGGGCAAGGCCCCACAGCAACCGGGACTATGGGATCTCCCCGCACCCATGGAGGGGAAGTTCATGCAAGTTCAGGTCCTCGTGAACAAGGTCCCCATCGCAACCTTATAGTGGATCATGAAACGCTTTGGTCGTTGAGGGAGCCTCACAGCAGCCCTATCCTGGATTTGGGATGCATACCGCGGCTCGGAAAAGCTTCAAGGTCGTCCCCTACGCCCGGAGCACATGTGTAAGGGCAATTTGACCATCCTCATCATGGTCAAGGAATGCCGCCCGGAGACTTTCGATCTGACATCCGAACGGGAGCCAGAACCACCGGTGTCTTCGGATTGGAGCAAGGTAGAAGCAGCAACCCCGGAGCAGGAGATGGACGCTTCGAAGGAATCACGCTTCAGGCCAAGCCGACGACGATCGACAACGAGATCCACACCGACACCGGATCGGAAGTCAAAATCGAAGTCCCAAGAGAAGGTGAAGAGCAAGACCCTGAAGGATCGCGGTGGCAGCCCGAAGTCCAAAACGCGAGGACCCCGGGCCAAAACTCCATCCGACTCCGATGGCTCGATGGATGTGGACACCTTGCTGAACGACAAGGAGCCGGACGAGACGACCCGCGACAGCCTCGACAAACCGATCGAACACTACGAGACCAAGCTCGGTTTCCTGGAGGACCAGGTTGCCAAGGAACACAAGAAGATGCGGCAAGTGAGTACAGACGAGGAAAAGTGCTCTGCCAAGAAAGCGCCCTGCCAAGAAACGAATGCAGGTTTTCTCCGAGGAGCAGATAGCCCTCCAGGAACAAATCGAGGATATTTGCAAGGGCCAACGGCGCTCCATGAGCAAAGGGGCCCCGGCCAAAGAAAAGGACCGCGGCGCCACAGACTCCAAGAGCAAGGCACGAGCCTCCACCGACAAGACCGCTACCACGGAAGAGGAGACCGAGGAGGAGGAGGAGGAGGCACCATCCCCATGTCAGGGAACGAGGAAAGCATCGACCAGAGCCGAAACAGATGCGGCGGAGGCCAACACCAAAGTCAAGAAGAAAACATCCAAAACGCGATCCAAAACGGTGCCATGCAGCTGACCGATCACGGCACAGCATTCCCTTCACTGTCCAACAAATTCTCCGCCGACCTGGCGATCAATATGGCAATAAGCTTCCAGTCCATGTGCTTCGCTTGGCAATGGAAGCAAATCGTGAGCATGCGCAGCGTGAAGAACGCCACGAAAAAGGAGTTCGGCTCCAGAGCAAGGTAGAAGAAAAATCCGCGCTGGTTGATGGCCATGCTGGCCAAACAAGTGGGATTGATGTGGGGACACCTGGGATCGCTGAGGCAAACCATGAACAACTCGAAGCACCTGTACCTCATGGCGGGACAGGCGCTGCAAAAGGAGGAGGCCGAAGGCCCCAGACGTCGAAGCCATCGCGGGGGCCTGATGCAGAAATTCCAAAGAGGAGTGGGGACGGCCCTGACCGCTATCAGCATCCTCACTCCTGTTTCTTCACGCGAACCGACCTGGAAGGCAGTATATTTTTTTCTACTCAAGGGAGGCCGTTGAAGCCGGGAAGGCATCCGTTGGAAATGAAAGCAAACCGGCGAATCGTGGACGAACTCAAGATGTCAAAGCGCGATCTGGTGATCTTCAATCCTCCGACCGGGCCTTGAGTTGGATGGCAGTCGAGATCGCCCTTGGCCGATCTGAAGGCCAAGGCCGGCTACTATCCGACGTGGTGGCTCATCTACAAAGATATGGGAAATGCAGAATGACAATGGCGGGTTAGTTCTGCTGACTTACCCTACGAAGGTAAGACCTCCTGGCCCCGATGAAATGCTAGAACCCCAACGATGCACGCAGGTGAGCATTGTCGAGATGGTGAACACGAGTGGCTTGAGCGAGATGAAGTATATGCAGGGCGAGTGGATATGTGCCAGGGGGGCTTGATTGACCCGGATTCAGGAGTGCCGATTAAAGCAAACCATTTTTTTCCCACACCTTTTTGCTCCTGCCCAGTCTGTCCACCGGTCAGCCTGCTACATCATCAGCGGGCCCTGCTGTCCCAGGTGGGTTCAGCCCCGGCTAGGAGGTCCCCCAACGGCATTTCGGTGCCATGGCAGGGAGCTGGCGTGTGTTTGCAGGCCGGCGAAGGAAGCGAGCGCCATCCACCGTCTCTGCAGCGAGCGTCTGGTGCTTTCCGTCGCCCATGGTGCCCGCTGCCTGGCCCTAGCCCGCGCCAGCCGACGTAAGAACGCGGATGCTCCGCTGCTAATCCGTCCGCCGACCTCCATGCCGAGCACGACCAAGCAGCACCTCACCCGCCCCGCGCCCAGGAGTTCAGGGTACGTGCGGTGTTTGCGCGCCGTGGCCTGCTGCAACACCAGGTCTGCGCGAGGTCGCGGTTGCCCGTCCCTCTGTAACGGGCTGACGAGCGTTGTGTCGACCGCGACTTGGGCACCTCGCCACACGTGCAGGCCGTTCGCGACGACCTCGATCCGCCGCCCATCGGTCGCGCGGGCATCCAACTTCATATCGCGCAGCGCGACATGCGTTGCAACCCCCCCGCTTCTCGGCATATGCGCGCTGCTTGCCCGCTCTCGAGGCCCCGCTCTATGTGCGAGGACACCCACCTGCGCGCAGGCCAAGCGGTGGTCGCCTAAGGCGTCCAAACGCCGGCCGCAGCGACACCGCCGCAGGGCGAGGGGCAGTGGTAACCGGAGCCTCTTAGGAGGACAAGCCGATATTCGTCGTTTGGGACATCAAACTCCGGGCACGAGGGGACTGTGGTCAGGACGCAGCTAGCTCCTTCGCCACTTTGGGACAGCAGCAGCGCCCGCGACGCATTATCCAAGTCAGCAAACAGCATCTCGAGCGCGTGCTTGTCCACAGCAGCTCCGGCCAGCTTCTGCCACCCCCGTCGGCTGGTGTCCTCGGCACCTTCCCCCTCGCTTGGCGGAGGGGACGCCCCTTCCCGCAGCAGG